TCTCTTTGGACTAACGAAAGGATATGTGTGTTAAAGTGTGATCGGGTTTACGTGGTGTGTTTACGTGGTTATTGTTTGTAACTTTTTTTTCTGTGTGTTTTTTGTTTGAAGTTTCGTCTGTTGTTTGAAAGTGAGTTGATTTTTGTTGTTGTTTTGTGTTGTGGTCTGTAGTGCTTGTTCATTAGAGGAGATACACAGCTTTTATGGGGTTAAAAGTACTGAGCCAGTAGTTATGGTGGATTCGTTTTGCCTTTAGTTTATTATGAAAGGGTTGAAGTGACGAGGATCTTGATAAAAGTATTTACACTTTTGGTTTAGTGTTAGTAGTGTAGTGCTTGTTGGTGTTTATTTCACAAAATAAGAAATAACTCTCTTTGTAATTTAAGTAAAAACATTGCCAAGCCTGTTTATACTGGAGGTTTACAGTACTTGAAATAAGATTTTCAGGCCAGATTTTCATGCATATCATTACATTCAGTATATGTACTTTTAAGTATGGGTTGTCATGTCATGGCATGAACTGTTTTGTGATCAAGGTTTATGGAGGCAAAGTAGTAAACATAGATATTAATTGATACCTGCAATCTCATGTCCATTGTAATAATAACTTAAATAATGACATAGGTAGAATTGGAGAGTTGTCTATTTTATGCACCCTGACAAAGGCCATGACAGGAAATTACTAGATAGGTATACAAGGTCTACCTTGCCGAAATATACAAATAAAAGTTTTGTCGAAGCATTGACAGATATGTAGACACCTCTGATTACGTTAGGCTAGTATCAGACGTAGATTTCTGTAAAGCACTTACTCATAAGAATACCAAAATTTAGTTATAAGAAAAACATGAACACCTGCAGACACAATACTGAGAATTGTGCAAAATTGTTTTTTTTTTTTTTTGTTTCCAGTTCCTGTCTTGTGTGTCTGATTTAGAAATTGCAGTTGATTATGAGTTGATCATAACTTTTGAATGACTTTGTAGGTCACATAAAGCTTTAGTTATCAAAAATAAATCAAAACTTGTTATTGTTGTATGATAGTTTTTATTATTTGAATGAATTCACACCTGTACATGAAGCATCAACTGTAAATGTCAAAATGAAAATTATGATTATATATGTTCGTGTGTGTATTTATATACACATATTATGTATATATTTATATATAAACCTACATGGTAAATTCCTCAAGTTCTAGTTTAGGTTAATATTTAGAACAGGATCACTTGCCAGAGCATCAGCCAACTAACCATAGCCATGAGTATTCAGGAATAGAGTTTCTGGGGAAATCATACGTACGTGGCGGCAATTAGTTAACCATTGCTGGCGGGTTAAATGTAGAGGCCACTGTATTGAATGGGGCGTAGATCTATAGACTTGATAAGTATTTGTAGGGTTTCCTTTTCTTCTGTATTAGTGTTACGTTATATCTTCTTTAAGAAAATAAATGCGAGTTTTTTCTCAATCCCCCTGTGTTCTTGATGTAAGATGGTATTAAATTTGTTAAATATCAAGTTGGGTTATATTAATCTGATGTTATTTAAATTTGATTAGATTTAGTGGATGTAATAAAATTTGGAAATTTAGATACGAATTAAATTTTGTTTAGGTTAGAGTTGCAAGAATCTTATTATTGAATGGCAAGACAATATTACTGGAATATATAATGTATCACTTCTTTCAATTTGATTGCAAATACAAATTTACTTATGAGCTCAAAATTAAGAATTACATACACACAGGAATAACAAAAACTAGAGTAACTCCTTGGATCCAGTTGCAGGCTGCATGTGGACCAAAATCAGGGCATTAGGCTTACTTGAGTGGTGACTCTCCTAGGCGTGTGGCATGTAGGCACGGCTCAAACAAATGCTCGTGTGCGATATAAAGATTCCTTGCCTCCCCTTTGGATGGTTATTATTTCTGCATAAGTATCTTTTGCTTTCTTGCCAGCTTTCAAAGTCTGTATTTGTCATTTACAGCTGTGAAATAACAATAACAATAAGTAATATTGTGTAATTTGTGTAATTGTTTAATAGTTTTGTATTAGTCAGATTTCTGTAACACCGTCTGTGCTGCTGATCGTGGTGGGCGGGAATGGGATTCTAAGCAATAGTGTCCTCCCAGGAGCTTATGGTCTTCCAGCCTTGGCTCATAGGTGGTACATTCCACCCTCGTTTACCTGTGGAAGTAATGTGAAAGTGCCTTCCCAAATACCCACTGAGTGTGTTCTTCATCTATGAGCTTTCGGCATTTGTGGTGAGTCATTCCCTTCACCATGGCTCTTGGCAAAGTTTTCCATGATAGCACATTTCCTTCACCCATATCTCTGTTAAATTTTTCCATTAATGACATATTCCCTTCATTGAGCCCTCAGCAAAATTTTTCCATGACTGTCATGTCACTCAGATCCAACAGGGTTATAGTAAAGTACTAAACAGTAAAATGTATTTAGATCTTTAAAGATTGAGTTGAAGTACTTAGATCTGGTGATTTTTATTTCTTGTTTGCATCAATATTATGATGGTTTTAATAAAGTAATTATTAAATAAGAGTTATCTTTTTATCTGGAAACTATTCAGTAATCATGTATGGATCATGTTAAAGAATTATAACATTATTTGTTAACATCTTGATTTTTCTCAATTCTGTATAAAAATAATACAAATTGAAATATGAATGTAACCAAAATGGTATAATATTCTGCAGAAATATAGCAGCTAAATATATATACTGACATTACCAAATGTAAAACATGTAGGTACAGATGGTATTTCATCCATTAATCCATTGGATCTGGGTGAGGGTGATATCATGGCAGGAAAAAAAATTTGGTTGACTGGTGATTTATGGAAATATGTCATCGTGGAAAGATTTTGGGCTGATTGGTGGTTACAGGAATGTGTTGCCATGAATAAATTTGGTTTAGAGTTGGGGTGATGGGAATATGTCATCATCAATGCACAAAGCTATCAGAGCTGTTAGACTCTGTGGGCCTTTAGGAAGAGGCTCTTGCATTAAAGCCACCAGGTAAACGAGGCTGGAATATATCATTTGGCTCCATTGAGGACGCAGGTTTGATGTGAAGGATCCTGTTCTTTCTGCCTTGATTGGTGGTGTGGGGTGTGTTATGGAATATTGAATATTATGAACATATAGAGTGATAAGAGAAGTAACCTTCTGTAACTTATTGCAGAATAAAAGCTAATAGCATAGCAAAGAGGAGGCAAGGATGCTTGATACTGTGCATGTGTGGGTGGGTTGAGTTACTGCTCAAGTAAGCCTAATTTTGGTCCATGTGTGAGCTGCAAGGCACCTAGATGCAATGGGTCAACAAATCACCTTTACAGAATTCCTTCTTGCCTGAAGAATATAGGGGATTATGCAATAATGGAAGAGCTTCTTTAAGGCAAAAGCTTACCAAATATTATCATGACAACATAAACATAATAACATGTACACTAAGATAGATGGGAAACACTGCCCCCCCAAATTAAAAATTAATGTAATTCATCAGATTCCCTTTTTTTGTTTGATAAAGAACTCATAGTGAATTTAAAAAGTTATGTTCTTTTTCATTTTCTGCTGTGGCATTGTTTCTTTTTTTTAACTAAAAATGTTCATAACTCAAAAAGTCAGCATAGACAGATTTTTGAAAAAAAAAGAAAAAAAGAAAAAAAACAACAGATGGTCCTTTTGAATGCAATAGGATATTAATTACATCCCTGTATATGTTATTCTTAAAAAAAATCATTACCCAAGTTAGCTACCTACATTATGATGGTTCAAGGGAAAGACCATGTTTGAGCTCTAATGTGCACAGTAGTACTATGTATTTTTATATCTTGGCATTATATCTGTTTATACCTTTTGAGGAAGAGGGGGAAGAAGAGAATTGTTTCTTCTATTTACTTCTGCATGAAATAGAAATGACAGCTTAGATTATATAGCTCTTAAATCTTGCTAACAGTTTCATATTTTTATTGCTTTTGGAAATTCAGGACACTGTGATTAAAACAATTATCTGCTAGACACCCAATTATACAGAGGTATCATTTTGTAAAGTAACAAACTGTAACAGTGATATTATTAGTGCAAGAAAGGTGGAGTTCAGTAATGGTCTGTAATAATACATTTATATTCCACTTATAACTTGTTTTTCCTTGATAGTGTTATTAAGCAAGATAAGGTATGTTTCATTTGAATTTAATGAATGGTTATAGAATGTGTTTAAACTAAGGTCTGTTTTAAAGATACAGGAATGTCCTTTGATGAGAAAGAGAAAACGTCATTGTAGCTATAATTCTGCAGACAGCCTCAGAAGTATTGGGAAGGGATTTTAGCTTTATCAGTGGAACTCTAAATATTCATACAAGTTTAGTTGACAATATTAATTATTTGATTGTGTTAACAGTGTGTTTCATAAGGCTTTCCTGGCAGGGAAACTCTATGTATAATTCTACCTTCTCCCTCTTTCCTTTTAGTGCAACCATAATGCAGGATGGATGTAGATGAGCACCAGGATGAGTCATCAGAGCAACATGACGAGATGTCGTCTGAAGAGAGCACCCACAGGTTGGGCTCTGCTGAGCGCAACCAGCAGTCCTCCCCCTTCTCAGAGAGCAAGGTCTTTCGGTTAAGCCCCATAGAGTTTGACAGTGACAGTGGTGCAGATGGTGAGGACTTCCCGTCGTCGAGCAGAAATGGGCTTGACCACATTAAGGGCATTAATGAGGAGGAGGAGGAGGAAGAGCAGAGGGAAAAGTTTGAAGCTGCCACAGATATTTCGTTCCTAAAGGATAAATCCCTCACCGCGTCACCCACCAGAAACTTCAAAAGTTCCTATGCCAAGTCTCTGGCAGACTCCTACAGACGGGCAAGCCTGCCTGTGGTGGTGGGGTCTCCTAAAGGGCAGTTTTATTTCAAGAACGACGAATTCCTTAGTCTGAATGCTAGGCCTGCAAGACTCTCAGGGTTCGGCCAAGACAAGTACGTAA